TTTATTGTTCAAAATTCAAACCACTTTACCTTATTGCCATGCACCTCTTTATAATCTCCTGAAATAGACGACGAGAATTCGAGAAATCAACACATCTCAGCTAGATAGTTTCGGCCAAGACAATTTTCTTGCATCCATCGAATTTATCTGCTTGAAATATTCTCCACAGAACACCAGTAAGCATTACTTATCGTCACTTTCAAATAACGATCTAACCTTTTCGAAATCTACGTCGTTCATTTCGATAATAGTAAATAAATTGCTTGTAAAATTGTACAAAACTGCAATAAAGCTGTGAATAAAGCTACCAAGTGCACAATGCTTCCAAATTGAAGATTAGAAGGCCAATCAGAGGAGATGTTCTTTAACTCTTTTGCGCAAATTGTCCAATCAGAAGCTGCTATCTATTTGCAGAATTAGTCAAAATAGTCAAAATTTCGCAATCGTTAGTCAAAATAGGTCTGACCAATCAACATGTCTGTAATGTGTAATCTGAGCAAATTTGACCAATCAAATCACATGAACTAAAACGCAGAATAGTCAATTTTCATTTGAATACCGCTTATTTGACTTATCGTTTGGCTAATCAATCGCTGGCTCAATGTGCAAAAACTGATCGAAGTTTATATGCTGAAGTGTGATAGAGTTTTGATTGCGTGATCAGAAATGAAGAGAAGTGTTTGCGCTGGGAAAAAAATCAAAAACCTTAGTCCAAATTTTTTTATATGCCTTTTTTTTACGTTAGTCGCGTGACTAATCTGACTACCCCTAGATCCGCCCCTGCACGTGACGATGAAAGACCACATTTTTGCATAAACCTGAACAAAAACATAGATAGTGAGGTTTATTGTAATGCTAATGAGTTTCCAAACCATCTCCTCTATTAACTATGCAACCACAAACTTTGAAAATCTCCTCAGTACGTGCGAAAAATTATGCAAAAATGAAAATGCATGTCGCAGTACTATCCAGTGGTGCATGAGATCAGTGCAAGTGCTGGAGCTACGGCATATTCCGACTGCTTCCGATTCTTACAAATCGAAAATTTTGAGAATTGTGTATTTTGCAATAATGTATATTGCTCTATAATCAATATTTCTTTCATAAATATTGGTCATTTTATTCACTTTATTGTTTTATATTGTTGTTTGAATACAGAATTCGACATCTGACAGCAATATGTTGGAAGAGGACAAGGTAAAAATGATTTAATTTATTATATAATTATTTAATATGTTATTGACTTCCAAATTGTTGAAAATGTACAATGCCTAGATTGTTACAACTTCCGTGTTAACAGTTTTGAAAGCCTTCTAAGAATCTGTTAATGCTAAAAGTTGTTAAATTAGCAATATAATATTTCAGAGTTTTCATATGCAGTAGATTTATGTCCATATCACATGATTCGATCCAGATTTTTGGATAAATATTTCCTTTTTTGCTTCATTGTGAACCAATAATGAGATCAATTCAATGTGTCAGTTGTAAAATTCTTGATATGGTACAAGCTGATAAAAGAAATTGAGGAAACTTGACTCTCCCAAGTAAAATTGTGTGATGTTAGAGAGAGTAATATAAATAAAGTAGGATTGTCCATTTGCTTGTCATAGCACATACCTATGCAGCTAGAACAATGAATGTGTGGTCACTGCTCAATAACTGGACTCTGTAGCCCAGTTGGTTAGAATGCTGCCCTGGAATTGCAGTGTGATTTCTGCCATAGAGCCTGTAGTTACATTTTTCACAACTGCTGCCATGCCAGGCTGCAAAGTTTGGAAATTGCGCGCCTGAGATTTCGAAAATTTAATAGTAAATATATAGAAAGCTGTGCAGAAAATGCAGTCTGGCGTATAGAAATATAACATACTTGACAAGTGACTATTTGGTCTGATTTGACGTGACAGGGTGCTGCTATAGTCAGTGGTGCCCAGTAAGATGCCTACTTCACAATTTAGGTCTTTGTTGCAAGAAACTTAAACATTGCCAGAATTCTAATTTCCTTGTGTTGTCCTAGAAGGAAGAACGAACAACATCTGTGGACTTATCAACTGATTCCTCGTTAGTCATCGATATTTCAGATGCACTTAGCGAGAAGGATAAAGTCAAATTTACTGTTCACACAAAGGTATGAGAACTTTTTACTCAAAATCCTTTCCACAGGTGTTGAGGGAAATATGAGGTGATTTGCTCTGGACTCTAACATGATAGGTGAGCTCAGGTTGAGTTGAGGGCGTGTGTACTAGGGTGCTACCAAATATATCACTGTTTCTTCTGTTGTCAAATGATGATGTCACAGAGACCAGAGGAAGATTTTGCTCTGGGTTCCATGAAATCTTTTGAATGGCTCGGCATGAATCTATCCATATGACAACCTGACATTTTTGTATTTCTTATTAATTCTAGACAACTCTACCAGACTTTAAAAGCAGTGATTTCTCAGTCGTCCGTGGTCATGAAGAATTCGTCTGGCTTCATGACCGATATGAAGAGAATGAGGAGTATGCTGGAATAATTGTATGTCTGTTTTACTGTGTTAGATGTTTTAGTGATCAGGACAGGATTTTTCAATCAGCATCTAAAATTAATTTTAGTAATTATACATCATTGTTTGGCTTTTGATAACTAGCTTATATTTCATTTGTTGGTCAAAATATCTAGCTCAAAACTAGTGTGGCCTACAATTTCTGAAAATAATTGAAAAATGTTTTAATGTGCACCCTGTTTTTGTTCTGTTGTACCTCCTATGGAAAGTAAGTTGTGATTCTTTTTATTGCAGATCCCCCCTGCACCACCAAGGCCTGATTTTGATGCATCAAGGGAGAAACTTCAAAGATTAGGAGATGGTGAGTACATTTTTTACAGTGAAAATACAAAAGCTTTCCCACTTCCAGAAGGTTGTAAAGTGTTTAAATTCACTGTAATTTGTTCTGTATTACAGTAGCAGTTACCGATTAATTTATAGATAAATACTGTGATAAAATTGAAATTTAACATCTTATATATGTGTTACAATGCAGTGAGTCTAACAAAAAATGCAACCTTTGCAACAAATTATTATACAAAAACAAAGAAAACTGCATCTTGTTGCCGCATTTGCTCATAATTTAGTAATTGCTACTGAAAAACAGAACAACCCTTACGAAAAAATCCTATAGAAATTCCTATAGGAAATTCCTATAGGAATTCTATTCCTATAGGATCCTATAGGAATTCCTATAGGAAATGCCATTTCCTATAGGAATTCCTATAGGATCCTATAGGATTTTTTCGTAAGGGAATTTACAGAAAATTACAACAGACTGTGGAATTAGTGGGAACGTTCCTGTATTTCACTATAAAATAAGTAACAAATGTCTAATCTGCGATTTTTTTAGGTGAAGGAACAATGACAAAAGAAGAATTTTCAAAAATGAAAGCTGAGCTGGAAGCGTAAGTCATCTTCATATCTGTCATCACAATAAATTAGGGATGAGCCGATACCAGAAAAAAGCCGATTCGCCGATCCGATATATCGGAGCCGATATAAAAAAATAATCGGCTGATTAATATGACCGATATTTCTGTGTACCGGGGTACAAGTGCCAGATAACGGTTTTTTGACAACTTTTAATACTTGTGTATACGCCACAAATTGACATACTAGTTTTAGTGTGTTCTGGAAAATATTTACTCATATTGCCATTATTGGACAGTTATCGGTCACTGTACGAGTCAAATGAATTAATGGATATGGGATTAAATATGCACAACAAAAGTGTCAAAAACAAGACGGAGTGTAGATTACTAGATTATAGAGTTATTTTTTTAAAAAAACGAAAAAATTGTGAATATCGGCAAATAGCCGATTATAAAAAATAATCGGCCGATTACCGATTATTTTGAAAACACCAAATATCGCCCGATTTATCGGCCGTACCGATTAATCGGCTCATCCCTACATTAAATGTTGTATCATGACGTCTAAAAAGTCTCAATTGGTGGGATTTAGTTAGTAGTGTGGGGCACTAGATCAACTTACATTTATAAGAATTTATAAGTCAACAAATACATCTCAATTCTATTTGTTTGTTTAATTCAAATGGAAGACTACTGCATATGATAATTTTTCTCACTCTGTTAACTGTCAGACTGTCAGTTTGTACCATCTGCTGTATGATCAATGCTTAGCATCTGTTCGTAATACCCTAGTTTCTAATTTTTTCCACTAGAGAATATTTAGCAACGTTTAAGAAGACAGTTGCCATGCATGAAGTGTTCCTGTGCAGACTGGCGGCTCACCCAAAACTTAGGAAAGATGAAAACTTTAAAGTGTTTTTGGAATACAAACAGGAGGTAAAAAGCAAATTAAAGTTCACAATATAGACATATTTTGTAGAGATGAGGTGGAAGACGCCTTTAGTTTTACATTAAGCTGTTAACATGGCCAGCTTGCATACCAAATTGAGCCATTAAAGATGGCAAACTTTTGAAAGTTCATTCTATGAACTTTAAACATGGTCTACTGCAAATTGAATGCAACTTAATGTTGCAAAATGTAAGGAACTGGTTATTTACTTTGGGCATGAATTTTACCCCAACTCATGCACATTTTCTGGAAGCAACTGGAAACAGTTCAGCATGCTAGAATTCTTGGTTTAATATCAGACGTCCTTAAGTGGAACGAATATATTTTATAATCCAGCCTACATGTGCAAAACTTCCTGTCCGCCTTGTACCCAGGCGTCTCTTTGTAGTAAAACAGCGATGCGCATATGACAAGTTTACATGAAGTACAGTATTGTAGTGGCGAGAGAAGGGTCCCTTCCCAACACTGCCTGAATACTTCATGTATTATAATTATTTTAAAGCGCCTGGGTACGAGGCAGCCTGTTCGTGATATAATTTCCTTTCACTGTGTAGCTGTTTCTGACCCCTCCGACCTGTTCATCATGGCGTCACTGCATATTAATCTGACAGTATTGAAAGAGAAGCGAATTCTAATTCTAATTTGCCAAAGTCAGGACTACGACCTAAGTCTGGAGTATATAATTGACAATGCTCATACTATCTTAGCTTAGGTTTCTCAATGATTGTAAAGTTGCTGATGCAATTAATTTGTATATTTTTAAATAAACTATCAAACGACTATCAAACTGTATTAAAACCATTTGCAGCAATCCTGACCAAATTGCATGACATATTTACAGGCTCCTCCATTTACTGTTTGGAGTACTCCTGATTTTCGGAGCGTTCATAGAATCGAACTGAGGCACGATCACGTGAGTGTTCTGGTTGCCCTACTCAACTTCTACTCAACTTCTACTCAAAAGTAGGAGCAGTCAAAACAGTCATCTGACCGTTTTCAGTTTGGTTCTATTAGTGCTTCGAGTCCGGAGTACTCCGAACAGTAAATAGGGCAGCCTGGTAGTTAATTGAATTCTATTTAGTTAAGTGTGAGAGGAAAAAACAAGAAGGAGAAGCTTGGAGGTTTTCTCAAAGGTTTTGCCAAAGGAGTGGATGAAGTTTTACTTTCAAGTCAAAAGGTAAATTACAAAAATGTGTAGGTCCTTGTGATTCAGTTTCTGAAATGTTGTAATTATTGTATGTTCTAGGATGCTGATGATTTCTTTGAGGGAGAGAAGAAGTTTCTGGTGGAGTATCATAGCAAGTATGTTTGATAAAAATTGGATGCAAACTTCTAGGCTGAGATTACGCTCGAGATTTTCATCTACAATTTTCATCTACTGTTAGTTGTAGCGAGATGCCCAAAATTCTCGGTGTTGAACACTTTATATCCTCTTAATTTAGACTCCGAGAAGCGACGAAGCAGTCGGACAGAATGACGCGATCACACAAGGGAGTTGCAGATTGTTACATCAAGATATCAACCTGTATCACGGCTTTAGCAACGAGTGAAGCGACAGATTTTGAAAAGTAAGTTTTAGAACTTATTTGTATCATATGTTAGGGGTATTATCAATCAATTGTACAATGCCCCTTCTCTACTTACATTCTAATTCAATAACTGTCTTTATTTTTCAGATTTTTTAACAAAGTTAGCGACATTTTTGAAAAAGTTCGGGTAGGTAATAACAGGTGTCAAGCCCTGCTCAAACGATAGTTGATGAAAGTTTGCATGAGAGTTTTCTCAACTTTCATGCCTCGGTCAAACGAGAACAAGAGTTGCATGAGAGTTGAGAAGCGAGAGTTTGCATGAGAGTTTTCTCAACTTTCATGCCCCGGTCAAACGAGAACAAGAGTTGCATGAGAGTTGAGAAGCGAGAGTTTGCATGAGAGTTTTCTCAACTCTCATGCCCTGGTCAAATGAGATGAAGAGTTGACGAGTGTTGACTGGATATTTTCGCGCACGTAGCGAAAATTCTCGTCAACTCCCATCAAAGTTTGAACCAGTTCAAAGTTGATGAGACTGCATGAGAATTGATGAAAGTTCGCGGTGAAAACTAGCGAGAGTTACAACTCTCGTCCATTCTCATCCTCGTTTGACCGAGGCTTTACTGAAACGTCCATGCGTTGTAAAACAATAATTGTTGAATATTTCAGAAATTGGAAGGTCGTGTGGCGTCCGATGAAGATCTCAAGTTATCAGATCTGCTGCGTTACTACATGCGAGATACTGATGCTGCCAAGGCACTTCTGTACAGGAGAGCAAAATGTTTGTCAGAGTTTGATAACGCCAATAAAGCGTTGGACAAAGCTAGAGCAAAGAATAAAGACATTCCCGGTGTAAGTGATGGTGATTACTATGAAGTTGCGTGGTAGCTTTGTGATGGTGATGATGATGGTGATGATGGTGGTGATGATGGTGGTGATGATGGTGGTGATGATGGTGGTGATGATGATGATGATGGTAATGATGATGATGGTGGTGATGATGGTGGTGATGATGGTGGTGATAGTGATGATGATGGTGGTGATGATGGTGGTGATGATGGTGATGATGATGGTGGTGGTGATGGTGGTGATGATGATGATGATGGTGATGGTGGTGATGATGATGATGATGGTGATGATGATGGTGGTGGTGATGATGGGGATGGTGATGATGGTGGTGATGATGGTGATGATGATGGTGATGATGATGATGATGATGATGGTGATGATGATGGTAGTGATGATGGTGGTGATGATGGTGGTGATGATGATGATGATGGTGATGATGATTGTGGTGATGATGGTGGTGATGAGGGTAGTGTGTGACGAATTAAAATCGTCAACGTGTGTGCTACTAACGATCACAGAACGAATAGACAATAGAAAATTTTTTTTATTCCTTTAACGTTTTAAAAGACAACCCTACCTAAGCTAAATATTTTTTACTAACATAAAGTCAGACCGAGTTCATACCACTGCTTCGTCTTTCTATCTTCGGCTAGCCCTCGATGTAGTTACCACTGTTCACAACCCCAATCTTCGGCCCAATACCATTCGCCTGCTCAATCGCTCATCCAATCGCTCCGAACAGACTATAATTTCAATTCAGGCTGAGGCAGCACAGCAGAAAGCCAGTGAAAAATTTGAAGCTATTTCTGAAGAATCCAAGAAAGGTCAGTCGTGTTTATAAATTTTTACGCACGTATACATGTCGCCTGTAGCTTGTCTTTCTGAAGAAGGCAGAACAGAATCTACATTGTTGATCTGTTTACATTCAGAAATTGAGGATTTCAAAGTACGAAGAGTTCAACAATACAAAAAGAATCTTGTAAGTATTTTTTGGAGTCAAAGTCGTTGAAGCTAAGTGACTGCAAGTGTATCGCAAAGCAAGTTACACAATCTTAATCTTTTCTAATATTGCAGGTTGAATTGACTGAACTTGAAATTAAACATGCAAAGGTAGGTCAGAAATTTGTAGAACATTTATTCCAGGAAAGCGATGAAAGCGCCTTGTGCTTTATTTTCCGTGAGTTGTAGCGTTCTCAACATTGCATTGCCCCTCAGCTTACCCGCTTGAAAAGAACGACTTGTGGCGAGTCCAGTTGTATCGCTGATAAGTAAGATTGTTTGGCACTAGATAGAGACGACACAGTGAAATACTAAATACAAGTAGATTATAATTAAAGTAGCAAAAATCATTCATATCTGTATTAAACTTCCCGATGAAGGGACGTCGCTAAAAATATCCGACTCGATATCACCACAATGAATAAGTTTAACTTTCATGATACATTTTGTACCCTGAAAAAATAACAAAATCCCATCATCAGTATTCTGATTTGTCTTTCCTAGGCACAAATCCAATTACTAAAAAATGCGTTGACATCGTTGAAAGATCTATGAATACAGAATAAAACAATGAAGTGTATGTAGTGTAGCGAGATTTTTGAAAATTGTGTTTTAATGAACTTTAGGTAGTGGATAACAGTATGTATAATATGACTAACAAAATTTAAAATTTGAAATGTGATCACACTACTGTGAGTACTGTGGAATATGATTAGAAAAGTACGTGTATAGTGGGTCAATTTTCATATTACCCCATACTTAACCTTACCCTAATACTTGTGACGTCATTACGGGATATACCAGTGAGACATTTTAATGAAATTTCTGGGGTGATAATAAAATTCTTTTTTGCAAGTGGAAACACCAAATTTCAAAATATAGAATATGTTCAAATTGTTCAAATATCAAAATTTTTTGTTCAAAATGTATGAAATATTCAGCTTTTATAAAAGAAAAGTATGAAATATTCAGCTTCTAATGATTGAGAGAGGCTGAAATGTGTACTTTAATTGATATGACTGGAAGAGATATAATAATATGGCTAAACTGAATTCCTGAAATATTTTATATAAATACTGCATCTTTAAAATAGAAGCAATTAAAATGGCGGAAATGCTTGTTTTTTGTACGGGCGTTTTAAAATTAAAGAAGCGAATTCTTCAAAGTTTAACTTCTTTCAGCAGAGGGCTTCGTAACTTTCGTTTCCAATTAATAATTTATAACAGTAGAATTCCAATGTCGTCATGTTACTAAAAATAGAAGCGTGGATTTTCCCTTCCAAGAAGAAGTGATTTAGTACGATATTTGAAATCCGAGTGTCACAATAATACGACAACAGAAGTGAAATCAATTCTTTTCTACCAACAAAGATATATACTATAAACCTTTTTATTCCTCAGGTAAACTGTCATTTATTCAAAATATATTGGAATTTTATTGTGCGAATATTTTGTGCTTGAAAGCGTTCGCGATGATTTGTTTATATATGACCTATTTTCATTTTCATTGTTTTGCATTTTCTAGTTTTTGATCTGTGAAAGTAATTTTCCTGCTTAAAGATAAACTAGTAAGTATGCAGTGTTGCTAAATCGAAGTTTAATTGTAATTGAGACATTGCTTATAATCAGAATAAAGTTATTGCGTACTTTCGTTTTAATTTCTATGTAAAGTGAAAGTAGGACAGGGTTTGCTGGGTTTATTTCGAAACGAATCTTAATGTACTACGTCTGGTACGCTACGAAACGCTACGATAGTTACAAACTTAAAAATAGTTTGTAAAAGAAATTTTTCTGACAGAACAATAAGGGTTGTTAAACTAATATGTACAATACAAGCTTTCACCATTGAAGGGTCATTTCTTGGGTCTGGAATTAGTGACATGCAAACAATTCCTACATGTCACAAGGTTGACCTTCCCAGCCCCTTGCTCTTTCTCAGTTGCGTTTGAACAGGGGTATGCCAACTTTTTAAATATACAACAATAGGCCACAAAAAAAATAGTTTGTTTTAGCGTCCTCGCCCGCCCACAAAAAAGGTCCCGCTCAGGTTTTTTTTTATTTTTTATTTTAAAAAACCCCAACTTTTATTGATCAACAGGCTCATATGTAGTATTTCTGTTGACTGTAGTCAATTGTGTTAATAAGTTGCGAAATTGAGTGCGAAAATGACAATATGAATCATATTTTGAAATATATAAAAAAATATCTGTACTGCACAAGAAAATCCAGTTTCAGAGCTAAAACCAAGGCGTTAAAAATTAGTAAAAATTTTTTTAAAAAGTGCCCGCCCGCCCACTTTTTGGCAAAAGCTAAGGACGCTAACAAACTATTTTTGTTTATGTGGCCTTAATATATGAGCTGGCTTGAGAGCATGTAGAGCATTGTACCCTCTCCCTTGTTTGTAAAGAACAATAGAAATAACTTCAGTTAACCCATTGAGTGGCAGCACTTTCCCCCTGACAAATAAAATCGTCTGACGTTAGACAGAGTAAAATTATCATAAAGAAGGGTGCATCTGGGGCCAAATAAAAATAATAGTTGGTTTCAGGTTTCACAGCCATGTTTTATATGGGTAGGTAGGTCGGAAAAACATTTTATTTTAAAAAGTATTTTATCTCAAGTATGCAATAAATATAAGTTGAAACTGATTATAAACTCTTAGTTTTTATTGTTTTTACATCAGGTTTTCACTAGCATACATATAAAACTTGACATGCAAGGAAACGAGCAACAACTAAATATTTAATGCCAACAATGTTCAGTCTAAACGCTTAAATGTCAATAAAATGCTTATGGTCGGTCATATTTTTGACAGGTTGGTCGGAAACCTGAAACCAACTATTATTTTTATTTGGCCTGGGCACAATGCCACTTAAATGGTTAACAGGGTGCATAGCAGATAGTCTGATTAACCCAGTGAGTGGCAGCACTCTCTGACAAAATTCAATACCTATTTCCTTTTTTAACAACCTAGGTGTATGGTGTAATATGTAAACTTCTTCAAAACAAAAGATAGCACCTGACATGGCTGAAAACAATACAACTCCAAACAAAATATTTCAACCTCGAGAATATCAATTGGAACTTATTGAAGCAGCAAAGAAACGAAACATCATCGTATGTCTGGGGACTGGGACAGGCAAGACTTTCATTAGCATCAAGCTGATTGAACATCTAGCACGAGAAAATGATATATTTCGACCTTTCTCAGAGGGAGCTAAGAGAACTTTCTTTCTGGTTAACAGTGGTGAGTTTAATTAGCCTTAAATCTCACGATGACGAATATCCCCCATTTTTGGGTGGCATCCAATTCTTGTTAGTTGTTAACCAATGCAGACAATTAAAACAATGTGAAAAGCAATTTTTCAAAATAAACTAACCATTCACAAAGCAAATTTACCATCATTCATCAAAAAAATTATAAAAAGTCGTCGTTATGTGGACTTATCTTTCAGACGTCGGCTGAAATGCCACCCAAAAATGGCGGCGTGAGAAAGGCTAATTGCATTTTTGTTTTGATATTTGTCAAGGCTGCATGTTCAATCCCCACAGAGGACCTATAGGTACATTTCTTGCAGTTGCTCCTGGGTAGGTCTAATAATGTATAAACATCTACAAAATCCTTCAGCCTAGAAACAAACTTATCATCTGGAGGTTAGTGTGTTAGGGCTCATTTATTTAATATCTAAGGGTGGGATATATGGGCGGGAGGGGAGGGGGGGAGTAAGGGAGTTTTTAAAATGATGTCATTTATATCACTTTTTGCATACATGGGGGAGGAGGGAGGGGTCATCTTTCAAAAACCTTATACCATGCCCAATGTTGAATTCCAAAGTTAGGATATTATCTTACATGTGCACCCTTGCAGTTTAATAAGCATATGAACAAGTCTGTTAATTTCTTAGTTCCCTTGGTCTTCCAACAAGCTGCTGCTATTGAGTCGTTCACAGCACTTAAAGTCAAGGCATTCTGCGGAGAAATGGGTGTGGACTTCTGGGGCAAGGATCAATGGCTGAAAGAATTTGAAGATCACCATGTGCTCGTCATGACGCATCAGATCTATCTTGATCTTATACAACACCGCAAGTATGGATTCAGTTTATCTCAAGCAAATTTGTTGGTTTTTGATGAATGCCATCATGCAAATAAAAATCATCCATTTAAAAAGATCATGGATTGTTTTGGTGATCGTAATCAGGGAGACCTCCCAAAGATCCTTGGACTTACTGCATCGGTTGTTGGCAAGAAGGTGCAGCCTCGTCAGATTGAAGATGAAATTAAAAAGTTGGAGCGAACAATGAGAAGTGCTTGCAAAACAGCGAGTGACCCTGATGTAGTAGAAAAATATGGTGCAAAGCCAGAGGTAATTATGAGAACATATTCATCATCAAGCCACTTTGACCCTGTAGTGTACTTGGAAAACGAATTCCTTTTAGTGTTGGATCCTCTTGATGCATTTTTAAAAGATGTCAAAGTGTTAAAAGATGCAAGTGGTTCTGGGGAAGTTATTAAGAGAGAACTGGACGTCGCCAAGGGTGCAGTGCGCGAATGTTTATCAGCGCTAGAAGACATTGGTATCTGGGCAGCTAATGAAGTTTCAGTGATGTTAGTGGATGATTTAGGTTAGTCTGTGAAGATCATTTTACAACAAAATACTGTTGGACATCTTTCATTCAGACACTGATGGAACATAGCAAAGTTCATATTAGAGAGGTGACTGTATTAGAGAGGTGACTGTATTAGAGAGGTGACTGTATTAGAGAGGTGTCCGTATTTCAGAGGTGTTCATATTAGAGAGGGGTAGTATTATTGAGGTGTCTGTTTTAGAGAGGTGTATGCATAGACGGATTTTATGGGGGGGGGGTGCAGGGAGGTGCTACCCCCCCCCCCAATATTAGCTATAACCCCCCAAACAAAATGTCCACCCCTCCAAAAATATTTTCAACCCCCTCCCCCCAATATTCGGCATAATAAAAAATAATTAAATAGTCGACTCCAACGTGCAGAGTGTTGTAGACTTTCCAAAGTCCTTTCCTTTTCCTTCCCTCCCCCGCGCCCTCCTTCCCCCATGGTCGACTTGTCGCAAGTCTAAGAGTGTTGATCATACAAAATAAACGTAGGAGTACACTCAAATAGTGCAATACTCTGAAACTAATTGCTCCTCGCTTGCATTCACTGGTTTATTGGACCAATTGTAAAGTTTTGAAACTCTACTATCTCCCCTGAATAGAGTTTGCAGTGCCTTGTCATGCAAATAGCTTACTTGCAAGGAACGTTTGGAAATTTTACGAACATTATTTTTAGTTTTTTTAAATTCTTTTAGGAAATAGTCTTGCCTAGATTTAATCTTTACGTCCCAAATATTATTTACATCGGAGTTGCATCATACATTGTACTCGGATTCAAACGACACAATGTCTATGATTTTATAAAAGTAAAAGCATATTGTGTATTGGCCTATTGGGTTTACACTTTTACAGGTTCATTTAACTTTAACTCTCTCAAGTCTCGACAGACAATTGGACAGGCCAAATCCATTGATATGACAACTTCAAAAAACGTTTTTTCGAAGATAGAAATCATGATTTTTTTCAAATTTTACCAGGGATACTTTGTTTTCTGCTCTCTAGTAGTAGTAGTAGTAGTAGCAACTTTATTTAACGAGGGTAAAACACATTACAGCCGAAGGCTGAAAAACTTGTGGCCCTCGCTATACTAATTACAGGAAAATGCAATAAATTATATTATACAATATACTTATACTATGTTACAAACTTGATGGCTATAAAAACTTGATAGCTATAAAAACTTGATAGCTATAAAAACCTCACTACACTAAGAGTATTACAGGATGATTTACTATATTATACACTTATGCTACGTTAAATAGTAAAGAGTTAAAAATTATCTAAATCTAGATATTGTTCAGTTAAAAATGTTCGGTATTTATTCTTAAATGTACCTATATTTGAACATGATCTAATATCCGTAGGAATGCTATTCCACAGTTTAGCTGCCGATATTAAAAAAGATTTGCCCCCTTCTAATTCCCGATTGTATTTGGGACAAACAACAGTTATTTTGCCATGTGAAGTTCGCGACGATATTTGACTAACTGTTACAAATTTTTCAGCAACATAAGATGGGGCTAATTCATTTAAACTCTTAAAAACCATACAACATTTATTTATTTTGAGTTCATCAGTGAAAGGTATCCATTTCAGTTTTTTAAACAAAGTCATGGTTCTCTCTTCTCTTAACTTGGTATTTAAGATCACTCTTGCTGCACGTTTTTGAAGTTTAAACAATCTACCAAGATTTTCTTGACTGGTCATCGACCAAACCAAACCACCATACATGAACAATGGTTTAATTATAGCATTATAAAATTGGATTCGTTCTCTATTTGGTAAATTATGTCTTATGGAATTCAATAGACCGATCCTCTTGGTCAGTTTTTTGCATAGCGCGTCGATGTGATCATTGAAACTTAGATTCGGTCTAGACTCCCACTCGCGGCTCTAGTGCTCCACCCCTAGAATATAGCTATACCTTACTGGGGTTTGGCGACACTTTATGTTGCTTCAGTCACCTGCTCGCGGCTCACCCCCCTAAAATTTCTGGCACCACCCCCAGTAAAAAATATGAAAATCCGTCTATGGGTGTATGTATTAGAGAGATGTCTGTATTAAAGAGGTAATTGTATTAGAGAGGTGTTCATATTAGAGAGGAGTCTGTATTAGAGAGGAGTCTGTATTAGAGAGGAGTCTGTATTAGAGAGGAGTCTGTATTAGAGAGGAGTCTGTATTAGAGAGGAGTCTGTATTAGAGAGGAGTCTGTATTAGAGAGGAGTCTGTATTAGGGGCTGTTTACATGAGCCCTACCGAGAGGGCTAATTTTCACTGCTTGTTTACATGAGAAAAATCAGCCCTACTGGTAGGGATAGCTTCCTTTCGCAAGTAGCACTTAAATGGCTTCCGTGCGACTCATTAGTTTTATTTTGGCGTCCAAAATCATAGTTTGCCGACTAAATTTTGGAATAAAAGCCAACAGACATATGAATATTTGTTTAGAATTACATCCTTAAAACAAAAAAAGTTTCAACGAGTTTAGTCTAAAATCGATTCGATGGCTTTTTCACTCAGCCCTACTAGAAGGGCCAGCCCTCTCTCTACTGCATTTATATGAGAAAATTCCAGCCCTACTAGGCGAGATCTCGGGTGAATAATAGTGAGATCTCGCCTAGGTGGGCTGGCCCTCTTCTCATGTAAACGTAAACAATTTTTAATAAGGATTTCAAATAGCACGTGAGATCTTGCCTAGTAGGGCCAGCCCTCCCTGTAGGGCTCATGTAAACAGCCCCTTGGAGAGGAGTCTGTATTACAGAGGGATCTGTATTAGGGAGGGATCTGTATTACAGAGGGATCTGTATTAGGGAGGGATCTGTATTAGGGAGGGATCTGTATTAGGGAGGGATCTGTATTAGGGAGGGATCTGTATTAGGGAGGGATCTGTATTAGGGAGGGATCTGTATTAGAGAGGGATCTGTATTAGGGAGGGATCTGTATTAGGGAGGGATCTGTATTAGAGAGGCGTCCGTATTAGAGAATTGTGTTTATTAGAAAGGTAACTGAATTAGAAAGGTGTTCCTATTAGAGAGGTGTCTGTACTAGAGAAATGTCGGTTATAAGGAGAAAGTTGAACTATAGTCCCATCTCTGCTGACCTTTGTGACTTTTTTAGAAAAACGGATTAAAAAGGTCTCCATTAGTTTATCACCTCACTCAAAGACAGCCAGCTTACTGCTTCAAACAACAGTGACGAGTTTACGAGAACTTACTTATAAATATGAGGAATTTAGAATTGCAAACTGGGGAGGCAGAGAGAAAGTTCAGCAAGAGTATTTGAAACCAAAAGTGAAGGAACTGCTGAAACTCTTCACTGAAACTAGAGGTATGTGTATGTCTTTTATTAAAAGCAGGTTGACACAGCTATCAAAGTTTCTGTGATTATATTAGGAATTTTGCATGGGTAAATTCTAATTGAAAGAAATGTTTTGGGGAACTGACTCGTTAAACACCGAGACAGTTCCCTCAAACATTTCTTACAAATCCTTCAAAACGTAGAATTTACCCATGCAAAAATCTTCACTGTGATCACAGAAACTTTGATAGTGTACACAGCTGTCACCCATTCAACTGCAATGTGCTCTGAAGACTCCAGATAATTTTACTTGTTGAGGGGAAAATCTTTTTAATCTGTAAATGTGCCTTTATGCACCTTACTTTCTAATTTTTACGTGTGTAAACCATGATCTGCCTTTATACATGTGTCCAACTTTGTTATTTAACAAATGGTTTAAGCTAGTCGTTCACACTCTCTGTATTCGTTCTCGCTCACATTTAGGTGACCAGATTTGTTCCATCGTGTTTGTTCAAAGACGATATGCAGCTTGTGTGTTGAGCAAACTCATCGAAACATTAGCGTCGACATGCGCAGAATATAGTCATCTGAAGCCAGACTTTGTCACTGGACACGGCGCTGAACTCTGGGGAATTTCTGAAACTGAAATGAATTTCAAAATGCAGGAGGAAAAGTTGACAAAATTTCGAACTGGGACATCTAACGTACTTGTGGGTACGAGTGTTGTTGAAGAAGGTGTGGATATCCCCAAGTGTAACCTGGTCGTCATGTTTGATTTTCCGCAAAATTTTCGAGCATTTGTTCAATCTCGTGGTCGCGGCAGAGCTAAGGGTGCAAAGTATGTGCTGTTGGTGCTGAGAAGTGAGCGTGGAAGACGCAGACAAGAACAAGAGGTACAAGTCCTTCAAAATAAGCTTGTGGTGAATTTCAATAAACAGGACTTGTCAAAGCTTGTTGACAAGTTGTCGACGGCTTTTTCACATCTTGCTACAAGGTTGTTGAGCTCAACAGACTTGTTGCAATACACCCTTTCGATAATTACGTCACAACTACACTGTTTTCACCTTAGGACCACCTTAAATGGAAAGGATTTCAAGTTTTTTTCTCATGGGCTATGCACAGAGAAGCAGAACATCCTTCTTCAACACATGTATGACAAAGAAATCTTTATTTTGACCAATAAATGTGGAAATAAGCTTTAATACGAAAACGAGGCTGTTTTCGTGTTAATGCTTATTTCCATATGCTTATTCCCAAATCCAAATATTTTTCGCGCATGTGTTGAAGAAGGATGTTCTGCTTCTCTGTGCATAGCCCATGAGAAAACAAAAACACTTGAAATCCTTTCCATTTATGGTAGTCCTAAGTTGAAAACAGTGTAGTTGTGACGTAATTATCGAAAGAGTGTATTTGTTCCAACAACTTGTTATCATCCTGCAATTAGTCAACAAGTTGTGAGTGACAACCTTGTAGCAAGTTCTTGGTAAAATAACAGCATTACTGTTACAACTGGTTGACAAGCTTGCTACAAGCCTGTTACGAACACATCTTCTTGACAAGTTGTGAGATTTTTACGTGTGTACTTTTCATATAATGAAAAGAATAAAAATTATTTTACTTCACGACCTGCGAGCAAGCTGTCTATATCTTAACTGATGTACTATTTCTCGCTAGAATTATCAAAGTGTTGATGAATATTTGAGGACGCTTTGCCAAGTTGATCGGGAGGGGCCTACTGAAGAGGAAATTAACGAAGCAATTAATGTCTACGCACTTCCAAACTACTACACAGGCAAGGATGCCAAACTTGATATGGGGAATAGCATCAACCGTCTCTACAGGTAAATAACTAGTTTCCATTTGGTCACAAATGTTTTGATCTAATCGTGGTCAACGATATGAAATAGTCTGTGCCTATATCTTGTCTTTTTTGCAATGTAATTTAGTCTTTATTGATGTTAGAGATATACCAACACTTTAGTACATCAGTCACCCTGATATGGTCACAACCAGTATGACGACAGGCCAGAAATCACCATGACGTCATGCCAGAAACCACCATGATGACACGCCAGAAACCACCATGACGTCACGCCAGAAACCATGCTTAAAAGGCTGAACCGTCCTTATTTTTAGCATGACAGGTTATTTTATTCTTTTAGATATTGTTCAAAACTCCCCTGCGACAGATTCACTAGTCTCAAACCAATATTCACAACTTCTGTTGTCAATGATGATGAATATCAGTGCACACTAAAGATGCCTGGGAATAGTCATATTACTGGAATAATCAAGGTACAGTAAGTCAGTGCCAAATTTGGCGGGAACAGTCACATTACTGGAATAATCAAGGAACAGTAAGTGTCAGATTTGGCGGGCACAGTAGCCAGTCGTAACTATTTTCAGTCCATTTCAATGTTTCAGTCTAACAATTCAGGTCTTCCGTGTAACAATTAGCAGAAACGGAGTATTGGTAGTTGCAATTTTGAAGTGTTGTACGAGCAAGCAAATTAAACCACGTTTTTCACTCTTGTTCATGCCTCCAAATACAAGACTAGTACCAATAATGAAAACAATCATTTTCTCACTTTGATAACTTTCGATTGACGATCATTTTCCGTACGATAACAGTTCTAGTCCACCGAACTATAGCTACTCACGTACTGTATATACCAAAACCTCGTGATGAACGAGATCTCGTGCAGTGATTTAGCATCGCTTGTATTTCAACTTTAGGGTGAGCCAATGACAAATAAGAAAGAGGCGAGACAGGCTGTAGCTTATGAAGCATGTAAACAGTTACTTGAACTTGGTGGTCTGGACGAACACATCCTGCCGGCTGTAGAGAGCAGTTCTGAAAGTGATGATGATGAAGATGATGTCGATGGTCCTTCACAACACAAAACTGGAACAAAGAAACGACAACGATTACATCTTGTTAAGGTTTTTAAATAAGCTGTATATTACGAATCGTGTTTTTGTCCATGAAAATAAGCTTCATGCAAGTGTTTTTAATAAAGGCAAGCCCTCTTAGACTATATTAACACGAGCCTGACGAATTCGGAATAATCTTTAAATCGCCTAGTTCAATTTGTCCAAACAGGAATTGTACGGTTAGCTGAGGTCCACCTGGCTTCATGTATCCCGTGTGAACTCGAATCACTTCACGAGTCAGTCAACGCTCTAACGAAAGTCGTGGGTTTTCTCTGGGTACTCCTGTTTCCTCCCACAGCCCACAGGGTGGGTTGACCCTTCCACCGTAGCTGTCCTCCGTGACACAGAATAGGAAGTTATACCAGAAGAGTAACTCTAGTCGTTTTCCTTATTGTTTGACGTCCACGAAAATTTTAACTCGCTCACGCCAATCCACGCCATCCTGGCTAGTACAGCCGGAAGTTTTTATCAGGTTTTGGCATTGAACTATAAATAAACTGGAAGGCTAACTCAGGGGGGGAATTGAAGCCAGTGCATTATAGTTTTTCTGAGTTATGAGCAGAAATACTCAACACTGAACGTTGGGCTATATATCAAATTGAAGCTATTGAAAAACACTATTTGGTGTAGAAATTTCAAGACTTTAGCTAAAAGGGAAATATTGAAAAACTACAAATATAATTACCGATAATTTGCCGTTTTGCAGTTGTTTTCGTATTTTTTAAATATTTTTCTTTTCGCTGAAGTCTTGAAATTTCCACACCGAATAGCAATTTTCAATCGCTCCAATTTGATATATAGCCCGACGTTTGGGGTCAAGTATTTCTGCTCATAACTCAGAAAAACTATTTTGGCTTCATCAAATCATAGGCCTTCATCATAGCAGTTAGCCTTCCAGTTTATTTATAGTTCAATGGGTTTTGGTAGGTACAAAGTGCCGGTTGTACTAGCCAGGATGGCGTGATTGATGACGAATCGCTTGTAAAAACGCGGACAAATACTTGCTTGAGTTACGCTTCTGCTATACCTTCCTATTCTGTGTCCGTGATGAGACATGAGTCATAAGGTGGCTGCCAAAGGCGGTGCCCTTAGAAAGCCTTCGACTCGATCAGATTGAGCTGCGTCCATCGCAACTCAGCTAAATAACTATTTGCGGTGCTTTCTACAAAACTAATGAATGAAAGTTTTTGTATTTTATGTAGACGTCAAATCAACTATATGGGCGGTTGACAACGGATGGTACTAAGAAGGTCTATGTGTATGCGATCAATATGACGTTTGGTGAAGTTTATAACCCAGTGAAGAAAGAGTTGTGGGATAGAAAGAATGTTTCGCTTGGAATTGTTACCAACGAAAAATTACCAGCAGAGGTTAGTTTTGACTTGAGGAGTACGTTTTGAGGAATGATCATCGATGTAAAATAGTTTATAGAATTCTTTGCTGTATGTTAGGCTATGTTTACACTGTACTAGATTATAGCTTTTCGTAGCGACGTGAAAAAACACGTATCCGTACCTTTTAGGAACGCTATTTTCTGAGGAATTATTGCAACGGAGAGATGTTGCTTCGCTCAAGCCTTACTTATATCACCCACTCGAACCGACTTGACTTCGTAGCTCAGAGCATTGGACTGGGAAACCAAAGGTCGCAGGTTCGATTCTCACCGCGGTCAAGTAAACTCTTCAGCTTGCCCGGTGTGGACAGAGACACCATTACAAACAGCCTTACGTAACAAATACAAATCAGTCATCTTGACATGGACGCGACAACTACGCTTCAAACCATTATTTTATTACCGTGGACATAACCCCTGATTATCATTCCATTGTCTTTGATTGTGTTTTTATTTATATTAGAATGCAGTTACATTTCTTTTCTAGTTGCCATCATTCCCTCTTTACAACGATATTGGAAAGTTAATAGTCACTCTCAAACGCTGTCAGTCAGTTCATGCGCTAACTACAAAGCAATGCAGCCTAGTCGACTGGTTTCACAATTTTATCTTCACCGAAACGTTGGAATTCAAACTTGGCTCTCTTACTAGAAATGGTTGTCGTGTGGTGCTATTAAATGATGTTGAGTCTAGTCTAGATTCTTTAAGCCGACGAACTGTTTCTACCGCCAGTGGAATTAACTTTCAGGAATTGGAGCTACTAAAGAAGAATGCGTCAAAAGTCTCGGAAAGGAATGGCAAATATTCTTCTGATACAGATCTGCTGGATTCAGTTGTTATTCAAGGTTATCTAAGAAAAGAAACTCGTAACCTTGGTCATTGTTTGGTCAAGTCAACCGGCGGCAATCCAAACAGTAGCTTTCCAAATGAAGACGTTGCTAAAACATTCAAGGAATACTTTGAAGGGAAGTACCACCCAATCAGAAACCTTTCTCAACCGCTATTGGAAGTTGTCAACCACAGCCGTAGGATTGATTGCCGTAAGATCGATCGCTGCTCGAAGGAATATTCTGCTCGAAAAAATCGAACAATGCATCTTATTCCAGAAACTCTGGAATTCAGGTCCAGTCCACAGTCGCTGACTCTTCGAGCAACTTTTCTCCCAGTGACATTATACCGTGTAGATAGCCTCGTTTCCATGATGGAACTACGGGATTCTTTATCCACAGAGATGGCTGCCTGTACTCCATATGATATCATTATGCCAGCATCTCCACGAAAGAGAGCAAGAGCTAGTTCAAATCAAACTTCAATGAAAGAGGCCATGTCAACACTGGTAGGGTATTTCTCTCCATTCGACAGTTCCAAGACAGTTCCATTATTCCAGTTACTAGAAGCAGTCACGTGCGCAAGGTCTGGCGAGGATTTCAATCTTGAGAGACTAGAAACGCTTGGTGATTCATTTCTCAAGATGGCCGTCACTATCCATGTTTATTGGCATAAAGATCACAAAGACGAAGGCAAACTGACGAAATATCGCACACGACAGATCTCAAACAAAAATCTTTTCAATCTTGCAAGGGAACGAGATCTCGTCAAATTCATCAAACTTTTCAACTTTTCTAATGAAGAAAAATGGCTACCACCCGGTTTTATCTCACGCAAAGTAGAAAATGGTGAGTCGTTCAGTGATGATGATACCGATGACGTCATGGATGATGATAGCGATGACGTCATGAATGGTGAGATCCCTGATGATGACGTCAAAACACAGAAGATCCCGGACAAGAGCATTGCAGACAGTATGGAGGCGCTTATTGGAGCACATTTCATACATTGTGGATACATAGGAGCATTAAAGTTCATGACGTGGCTGGGTGTGAAAGTATTTCATAGCGAGGACATCGAGGATGAACAACTCACCAATGGCAACCGTAGAAAGTCTCCTACCCCTCGACATTCCTCGAATTATGCAAACTACCCCCCGCCATCATTCGAGATCCCCGCAGACGAGGAAGGAGTACGATATAGAGAGATTTTAGGTAAACAGACGAAAGAAATGAAGCCTTTTGAGGAGAAGATTGGTTACACATTCAATAACAAGGTTTGACATTTAATATTTTATACTGGATAGTTGTAGCAGTTCTAAACAGTTTTCCATGACACATACCTTATTAAACCTTTAGTGTTACTATAGAAAGAACCCTAAACTAAACTAACTTTTATTCAGGATAGCTCTGTCTGTTGTAAACTGTTTTTCCTACGGGTCCAGTGTAGTCATTTCGTATCGATCCAATGTTACCATAGAATGAAGCCAGAGTACCTGAAATCTGTGGTAGCATTCTTTTTACAAGTGATTGCAACATCTTCTGTCACGAAGGTGAAAGACACATGTACTAACCCCCACCCACATGTACTAACCCCCACCCACATGTACTAACCCTAACCCATTATAACCCACATGTACGAACCCTCACCCACATGTACTAACCCTAACCCATTATAACCCACATGTACTAACCCTCACCCACATGTACTAACCCTAACCCATCATAACCCACATGTACTAACCCTAACCCATCATAACCCACATGTACGAACCCTCACCCACATGTACTAACCCTAAGCCGGATGTACTAACCCACATGTACTAACCCTCGCCCATCATAACCCACATGTACTAACCCTCGCCCACATGTACTAATCATAACCTACATGTACACATGTACTAATCCCAACCCACTAACCACATAAAACCGTAAAATACGTAACTGTATATACAACAGTTATTGCTATATATATTTTGTTCATTCCAGAAGAGTGGTTTAAGAATTTCTCTATTTCTATTCCCAGGTATTGCTACTTGAAGCATTCACTCACCCGACGTACAGTGATAACACGATAACAGGTTCATATCAACGTCTTGAGTTTCTGGGTGATGCAATACTGGATTTCCTTGTCACACAACACATCTACAACAACTGTAAGAAAGACCTGAAGCCTGGTGAACTCACTGACGTACGTTCTGCCCTCGTGAACAACAATATATTTGCTGTCATTGCTGTACAGAATGGCTACCATAAGTTTTTGAAGGAATATTCACCAAACTTGTTTAGTACCATTAGACATTTCGTTAAAGGAGTTGAACAGTACCAGAAGGATCTTGGTACAGCGGTAAGGAAGAGCATCGTTGCTTTTGATTTGATTTGCTTTTTCTTTTCCAAGACACGTAGGCAGATATAGCAAACTCGTTATGACTAGTTTAAAATCTTGTCCTTTGGTGTCTTTTTGGTCTTGTCCCTATTTTAGGGAAGTTGGTACAATCATGAAAATTGATTCGTAGACTATTGAAACATTTCAACCCCTCCACCGACTTGCGAGGATAATGTATGCGGCTCCATTCCTGGCAGAGCTATCAGACAATTCCTGTTAGAGCTAGCTTAGTTAAACGAAAATTTTCACATCGATCTCCATGTTCATAATTTAACACGATATTCAAAAACATTAGGTGAGTCCTGATCCGTACGTGATAGCAGTTCAAAGTGACTCGAGTGATGTGGAGTGTATTGAAGCTCCCAAGCCTCTGGGTGATGTTTTCGAATCTGTTGCTGGCGCAATATTCTTGGACAGCGGACTGGATGTTATTAAAGTGTGGGATGTTTGTTATCCAATGTTGAAGAAGTTTATTGGTAGGTTTTTGCGTCTAATGGACAACCTAACCACATACGCCCAGAGGCGCCGGAGAATCGATAATTGTGGGGGGGGGGGCAGATATTCATATATTCGTGTTCTGCCCAGTTAATTTCTTTTGAAATCGATTGTTTTTACAGTCTGTGAACACGAATATATGAATATCTGCCCCCGCTATTATCGATTCTCCGGCGCCTCTGCATACGCCATCATTTTATGCTATCCAATTATTAGATTCATTTGATCCGTAAGCCCGGACGCAACCCGTAGTGGAAAGAGCCTGGGTACGAGGTTGGCCCGGATGAAGATCAGTGCTAATAATGTATCATTAGCATTGATGAAAATCTGGGCTTACGGATCAAAAGGTTTACAATAATTATTATTAGAATGGCAAAATTACTGGATGCTGATTGGTTGAGAGGAGTACAATTATTTCATTAATTGTACTGCAGTACAATTAATGATTTTCCCAAAACAAACAAAATGGCGGAAAGGTATTTTAAACACAAGCGTGAAATGAAATTGCCCTAAAGGAACTAGATGAAAATGCGAACAAAAGCACCAAAATTTGCTTTAACAAAAGAACTAAATGAAAATACGGACAAAAGCACCAAATTTTGGTTGAAAGTCTGGTAGGACTGGGCTTAGGCGAGAGAATATATGAAGTATCCAATTTTTCATGCTAAGGGGGGGCGAGTCCAATTTGACAAATTTCCAAACATCACGAGTACTATTAATCCATAATTGCACGAGCAACATCGCATGATTACCTATACTAACTATACGTGGTATGGCCATGCTAAACTATTACACTTATTTCTATGTCATCTACTCATCTTTTATCAAAAATTTCAAATTTAGTAAAAGTAACTTCAAGCACCTTCGTTTTCACCAAAAGAACAATTTTTAATTTGTAAAAACATTAAAATTTGTGCTTTTGGACGACATCAATGTCTATTTTTCAACACTGTGTTGAAAGAGAAATGTACACATTGTTGTCGTCCAAAAGCACACATTTATCTTTCTCTTTCCTTGCTTCAACTAGGAGACTTTCATACACATTAGAAACATTCAAGTTTAGTAACTTAGTTGTTTGATTTTCAAATGCTGGTTAACATAATTTTTTTTCTCAGATGAATATTCAACGAACGTGCCCAAAAATCCAGTGAGAAGCGTGAAAGAGCAAGACGAAAAAGCTGCGTTTAGGTTTGTGTTTTAGTTTGGGATTTTACTGCTTGTGGGATTTTACTGCTCTGACAATAATGGCGACCAGGGCCGCCGAGAGGGGGGGGGGGCGACTTTGCCTTGTAAAGGGGCCCCAAAAGGACAAAAAGTTCTTGATACAAGAACTATTTATAGAGTTCACTGATGGTGACTATTTGTCCATTATTTCCTTAGCTCGGCGAAGATCCTAGAAGATGGCAGAGTGTCGTGTGATCTTACTTTCAAAGGCCTGAAATATAAAGGTGTTGGCAGAAACAAACATAATGCTAAACTTTCTGCTGCTTACAAAGCTTTGAAAACAACTGAAGCGAAAAAATGAGGAGAAAAACTAAAGAAAGATTTGATGGGAATACATATCAATCAACGCTCTGCCTAGTCTGCGAACCTAGACGCCACTTCCCAAAGAATGAGCGTGGGAAATGACGTCTAGGTTTGCAAGACTACGCTCTGCCGAAAGTTGAACATGGAAAGTGGACAGCTGAGTAAGTAAGATAAGTAAGCGCAATACTTGATGTAATCGGTCACTGGAAAGCCCCAATGGGGCGGGAGTGAGCTGAATAATAATATAATATAATGTAACTAAGTATTGTTCACATCCTGATCAAGAATGCGGAAATAAAAATAATATCACAAAGTAATAAGGGGGATTACGTAATTCAAATAATACTGTACATACAGTCTGTAGTAAATAATTTATTTATAATAATATATAGTATAATATATACAAGTCAAGCATACCAAAATATGGTTATGCAATATTACAGCTCGTAAGAAGAAATTAAAATGGTAGTTGATAATTTATTTTGTCTTCAGAGGCAGTAATGTTTGCAATAAACAGCATAATCAGTCTTGGACGATGAATATTGAATACTGTGTTTGATGTGATAAATAAATATAAATATTGATGGTAGAAATATGAATATTGGGAATAGAAGTGAATTTTTGAAATCAAAATAAACAAAAATTGGGATGAATTCGCCCCATTGAAAAGTGTTTTTTAGGGAATTTTACAGCGAGGAATATTTAAGGAAAAGTTTCCTCTTGACATCACTAATCTTTTACTGGGCATGCAGGTGCATCAATAATAACAAGAAACGACAATGACAACAACTGCTGAAAAAGTGCAAAGAAAGCTACAGGAAATATTTGCCCACACATTTTGGAGGCGGGATGAATAACATTAGCTTATAATCTGCGTCGAGGATGGCTAAATGGCGTGGGTGGGTGGGTCGTGGGTCGTGCGTCGTGGGTCGTGCGTCGTGGGTACGGTGTTGAGCGTCGTATAGACAATGGAAATATTTTTTAAGACAGATAGACGGCAGACGGACGGACGGATGGATGAGAGGGTAAAAAACGGGCGGACAGGAGGGTAAAATGCGGACGGATGAGAGGGTAAAATGCGAACGGACGGTGAGAGGGTAAAATGCGGATATGAAGGCATATAGAGTGGTATTTGTATTTTTCATGCAGAATTAAAATCCCAACCCAACTTTCATGCTTATTTTTCTTTGTTATCTGCATGGGTATGTAGTAATTTAATTTTATGCCACTATAATGTGCTGTTTTTCAAGGGCTTTTTAATGCAGTTATCATCCTAAAAGTAACGTTAATTCCCGTTGAGATATGACAATTTCAGTACGGCCTACTTTTACACAAACGCGAATTACAATGGCAACATTCATGCTTAAGTTTCTCGGTTATCTGTGCATGTAGTAATCAAATTTTATGCTACTATAATGTGCTGTTTTTCTAGGGCTTTTCAATGCAGTTATCGGTTTAAATATACCTAAAATGCCCGTTGAGATATGACAATTTCAGTACGGCCTACTTTTACGCTAACGCGACTGCATGCAATTGCCACTTTCATGATTTCCTCTGGTAAGACTGTTATCCAGTCGTGTTGTAATCTAATTTTATGCCATGAGTGTAATGTGCTATTTTTGAAGCAAGGCATTTTTTAATACTGTGGACTGGTGAAAAAAAATGGCAATGGCTATTGCCCCAAAGCCAGGTCCCTAGGACTTGTATGAGTAAATGAGTTTAACATTGAAAAAAAGTTTAATAAACTAAATTTGTTGGTGCAGCATACTATATAGTAACTGAACTTATGTTGTGTTTGAACTGAACTTATGTTGTGTTTGAATGTTTAGCATGCAATTTATTACAAATTTCACCTGATTAAAACTTTTTTTAAAAATGTGTCCTTAGAATGCACGAAATGCTATTTCAGAGA